TCAATTTTTGGGATGGACGTTCAGCGGGGGGGTCTAGAAAGATGAGGTGAACATAAAATTTGATGGGGGAAAAAGGGGTAGGGGTGCACTTAGGGTCTGTGGAGCAAAGAACTTTGTCTTTGGAGGAAAAGGGGGGAAATGTTGAGAGTTATTTTTTCCAACGTTTATATGGTGTGAACATGGGTGATGATGTTGCAGCGAGGAGAAGGCTGGGGGCAGGGGAGATGTATGGGGGCAATGTGTGGTTGAATAAATGCAAGAATTCGTAGTTTGGAAGTTGGAGGGGTGGGGATTACCAAAACTTTGTCCCCAAGGCTGAGGAAGGGGGTTTTTGGGTGGTTCGGGCATTAGAAATGGAGGAAACAGAGTGACTTCAAGAGTGTATCAGTCTGTTGGGGAAAGGGAAGGGGGGGTAGGGTCCCTAGGAAAGGTCGAGGGGGGGGGTAAAGGGGGTTTCGTGTGCGAGGGGCTTGGACTTCCAGCAACTGCGTGAGGGTTTATAGGGGGAAGGAACAAATGGTTTTTAATACTTGACGTGCTGTTGGAGTGTGAGCAAAGTAACATTTATGAAGGGGTTCAGGGGAAACCGCAACGGCTTTATCCGAGATGGGGAAATACAGTGCCTGCCCCGAAGGAGGGGGGTTAATGTTGCATTTTAAAAACGTAGTGTAAAGCACCCTTTTTGGCAAGACAGTGAGGAGTAATGATGGTGAAAATTTTTCTTTTTTGGGCCACCCCGCCCTTTATGGGAATCGGCCGTGTAAAAAAAAAAAAAAAAAAAAAAAAACATCCCCATGCCACTAATAAGTCCTCCAGTTATTTTCCCCAAAAAGAAATAACCAATAAAAATTTTAAAACCCCCTTTTCCCCCAAAAGAGAAAAAAAGAAAAAAAAAGGTTGCCCCTATTTTAACCAAAACAAGGTCGAGGTTAGCTGTTCATCTGCACTAAAGTGTGGGATTTTTTATTTTTCCCTTTTCCACACCCCTTCTCCATGTCTAGGGAAAATTTTTTTACCCCCCCAAAAAATTAAGTTTATTCAGGGATACACAATACAGTTACATAGTAGCAGCATACGTGTAAGAACCTAGGAAACCCAAAAAAAAAATCAGCAAAATCTGAGAGCACTATGAATTTTGGGGAGATATATGAGAGGCACTGATATAGATTTATGGGGACCAACATGAAAGTCACAAAGTACAGTACACATTAAATAACCCAAAAAAAAAAAAACAGCATTGTAAAAAACTGTTACAATGTTCTGATACTTTACTTAAAACTAAATTTTCACTGTGTGCAAATACTTTAGTTTACTAAACTGATAAAAAAATTTCTTTCTTGTAAAAAAAAGGCTCTATGAACAATTTGGGTTATTTTTTAGTGTGAAAATAACTACTGTATATAAACAAAGCATTTACAAAGGTGAACTTAGATATTCAGACGGAAATAGCTGTTGATATGGCTTGGTCCTTAAAGACCCCGCAAGTACCCAATTCCCAAAGGGACCCAGCATTGGGGAACAAGAGACAGGATTTGGGGACGAGACTCTGTCCCCCCTGTGGCATTTTAATCCAGAGTTTTCTGCAACTCCTCCTTACGGCTTTTTCAAATCCTTTCCCAAATTGAGAAAATTTTTGGAGAAAAATTGAATTGTAAACTTGGATAAAAACCCAAATATTGATAAAAAAGACTTTTTGATTGCCATTTTGTTTAGTTTGCGGGTTAATTGCCGCCTTGGCTCCCATTCATGGGGGTTCTCAGACCACCCTCTGCCGGGGGAGGGGGTACAAGTACCTCATCTTTGCTTTGCCATATTGTTGCAACTATGCACAGGGGTTAAAATAAATTTAGTTTATTACAAGTTAATTGGTAAATTTTATTTGTTACCAATTGTCTTGTATGGGATATAAAATGACATTTAAAACCAAAAATTTTTTCGCCAATATTACATTTTTATAAAAAAGACTGTTTCATCGGGCTATTTTTTCAATACAGCCAATTTAAAGCTGACAAAATGAGAGGGAGCACAGTACAGTACCATCTTTAGAAATTTTTTTTTGCAAGTTTTTAAATTAGTGATTAATTGCCTGTACTTAAATAACAGAAAAGAACTTTGGAATTTTTAAAATTTTCCCAAGAATGCATTGGGAAAAGTAGGGCTGGTTTTTTCTTTTTCCCCTAATGAAAAAAATTACATTTACTCTATGTAAAAATATGTATAAGGTGGTTTAGTTTTTTGTTCCCTTTTCTTGGGGGCAAACCCATACTTCCCATCCCCCAAAGTTATGACTTGGATTTCCACTTTCCCAAAGGGTAGTATTTACAGATCTGGATGCTGAAGTCCCAAAAGCAGTAGATATTTTTTGTGCACTTTTAAAAGTGTAGGTCACCAGTACTGTGTATAGTATTACAACTGGCTTAAAAACAAAAGCAGTTTGATTAATGAAGCCACAGACAAATATAAACATAACAAAAAGGCACTCTGTTAATTAAAATAACCAGTAGACCCCAAAATTATGCTGAAAACCTTCACACCCCCCTCCCAACACATGTAAAAACAAAAAAAAAAAGCTGCTAAAACCCTTGGGGAAAGATGGCCCCTAAATATACTGTATACTTAGGAAAATCTAAATAAATTCAGAAATTTTTTTTGTAACATTAATGGCTAAGATGGATTGGACCGGGCCAGTTCTTCTCTAAGGTTGGATTATTGGGAATTTTTTGGGTTATATTAAAAAATAGACCCAAGAATAGGGGAAATTAAAACAACTGAAAAAAAAAAGAAGGGACAGTTAATGCCCTGTTTAAGGTTACTTTTAAATTTTTTCTATAATTTAACCAAGCTTAACATTTAACAAGTTACGAAATAATAATGTAATTAAAAAAAAAGGAGCTTTTGATAAAAAAACTGGTGCTTCATTTTTCGGATCAAAACCCAATTACTGTACCTATTACCCATACCTAATGACCCTTCCCCAAAGGGAAAAATTTACTCGACCCCCCTCTTGATTTTGGAAAAAAACTTGACCCCCCCTTTCCTTTGGGATCAAACCAGATCCCTCTTCCCCAGTCCTTCAAGAGGTCTTCAGTGCCATGAAGGGTTCTTGATTTTAGGAATTTTTGCTACTCCCCATTCCCCTCAATCAAGCCAACTGCTCCCATTTTTAAGAAATATGGTCTCTTAAAAAATCAGTGCCTCCCTGTGAAAAAAAATCACATTCCTGAGCACGATAACTTTCACGGCTAGGCAGTTCCCTTTTAAAATTAATACAGTAAAAAGTTCAAGTGAAAATTAAGTCACAGAGAAAGTAACTCCGACCTGAACACAATACTGATGACCCATATGGATTAAGAGCATTTTGAGAAAAGTACTGTATTAAATTTTCCCACTTGATCTACAAATATGATAGAGCAAACTCTTAAAATTTTTCCCCTACAAAGTAATTTTAAAAGGTAATCCCACGCAGGTCATCACAAATAGATAACCCCAAGAGAGTATCAAATATCAAAACAATTTCAATAATGGGTAATCAAAGACTTTACAAATAAGAAACCCGGGCCCTTTTGTAAATACATGGTCCCTTGGATACGCCACTTTGAAGTAAGCCCAATTGGTATACATCCTTTTGGAGCAAAAAATTTTTGCTTGGTATAAACCTTTGTTTGGAATATACTCGCTGCTTAAATTTTTTGGGGTAAAAAATGATCGCGCCCGCACATCCCCCTTATTTACCTCTCTCCTCGAAAAACCCAACTACCCCTAGCGTCAGTATACCCTTTCCATTCAGTGAAAACCCGCTCTGTAACGAATTTTCATGTAATTTTGTTTTTTTTTTTCAAATTTTTTTTAGAAAATTTCTTTAAACCCATGATTTCTAAAAATTTAATAGAAGAGTCAAGCAACGAAAAAAAGGGTTAGGATCACCATGGGGGTAAAAAAAAGAGATTGTTGAAAAGTAGAAGGTGGCATGCGTACCAAGACTTGCTGCTGAACCCGTATCCGGAACAACGGTACTAGTTTGTGAAAAATGAAGATTTATTAATTGGGCAAACACTGCGAAGGGGGTGAAATCGTTTACCAAACAAAGACCAGGGACTTTAGGCTTGTTGAAAATTGCTTTTTTACTGGAAACAAAAAAACAATGTGCCCCGCGATAGCATACAAGGGCTCTGTGGCTGTGTCCCGTGGGAGAAAATTCTTTTTGGGGGATCCATAGGTCTGGGTGGAAATGTGAAGCGGAGGGGCACAGGGAACAGCTGACCACTGAGGAGCTGCAGGAACTTGAGGAGGAACACAAGACTAAGATGGATGCACTCTCTTCAGGCTCAGAAGAGGAGACAGAGGAAGCCCCTACTTCATTAATCAAGGAAATCTTTGCCAAATGGATGGACGTCAAAAACTTTGCAGAGAAGTACCACCCCAACAAAGCCCAAACAAGCTGTAATAGCATTGTCTGGAATGACCAGACAATTTCACATTTCCGAAACTTCCTGAGAAGGCAGAAGCAAAGTTCTATGGACAGATTTGTAGTAAAAGTCAAACGGGTGAGCTTCAACCAGGTCAAAATAGGTAAAAAGAGACAGAAAAGAGAAGGGGACTCCTTCTAAACAATAACATTTCCTCCTCCTCCCTTCTCAGCACTATCCTAGTAGGCATTAGACTTTTCAGCAAAGTAAAGCGAGGTTAAATTTGCATTTATTTCATCTAATTCTTTTGTATTTATGTGTGTTTTAGTAATAAGCAGTGTTTAAATTACATATTTTAGTATTAAGCAGTGTTTAAATTATTTTATACAATCCCATCAATGTATATGCCAATAATAGGATTTCTTTTTCATCGGAACGGATTAATCATTTTCCCTAAATTTATGGGAAAATTTGTTTGATATATGTCCTGTTTGGTACAAGTCCAAGATCCTGGAATGGATTAAGGATGTATACCTAGGTACCACTGTACATAACATGCCATAAAAAAAGTTGGTAATAACAGTCTTCACTAACCTTGACATCTGGGTTGGCCTTGTGGACCATTGCTTGAGTGTTGTCCAGACCATGTTGTGAGCGAGCCACACCTATGATGACAGAGCCAGGGGCCACCACACCTGCCACACCCTCACATATGGCTGCCCCAAGGCCTTTTGATGCCCCAGTCACCACCACCCATGACACCCCCCAGGGCAACTCCTTAACTCCATCACTCATCTGTAGAAATTAAACCAGTTAATTACAAAATTGCAGCACTGATTGACCCACATGAAATTAGCACTATATGAGAATGAGGATAATTACAGTAGGACCCCCTATATCCGTAGGGATACATTCCAAGGACCTGCCATGGATCCCGAAACCATGGATACCAGGTTCTACTGTATTAGAATATCAGCTCATTGGGGTTGAAGGGCTTTTGATGTAAGGATTTAGGGTTACTCCTTCCAGATTCAGACTTGTGGAACTCGGCCATTATTAAAAAATGGTGAGAAACCACTATCATGTGCTTTAAATACCCTATGGACACAGTTGTCATCCCACAATCACTAAAAAATTTGATATAGCCCCACTTCACAAAGGTTGCAGAAAAGCAATCTCAGGTCTAGAGAACGAGAACATCACTTCCCACATTACCAAAATCTTTGAAATTTAAAAAAAAATTAAGGCTGGTAATCCTGTGGATTTGCAACAATTACACAACTCCGGGCAAAAAAGTTTAAGCATGGGTAATGGTAGCTGTACACGGGAAGCTGAGAAAACTCTACTTTAGCTAGATTAAGATCTATCATGTATTATCTAGGAGAGAAAAAATGGCTCCTGCCTCACCCTCCATCCACTGCTGGAATAAAAACTTAATATACCATATCATATAGCAAAAATGGGATTGATTTTACAGGAGAAATAGAATATGAAGGAAGACATGGAGCGCAACTACCTTTACTTGACTAGTACTGCTTCTATCTTAATGACTCCTGCTACTTCATTGCCAATTAAAGTTGTGTACTAGTGGCTCTACTGGTTGCTACCAGTTCTGCTCTTTCACAACCCTCTACATCTACCAGACTTACTATTATTATTGACAGTAGCCTTTTTGTCAACTGATCATCCTGGTACAGTTGTTGGGCACACAATAGGAATCTGCTGACTTTCAGATTGCCCCAGGTACTGAATGTAACATGGTCTGCATGGGTTTACCATTCACTTAACTTATTTTCACATTTTCTGACATTAAATTTTAACCAGTCCAACAATCCTGACTGATAGAGTTATATTAAATATGTAGGTCCTGAAGGCTCTGATAACTTCTCCCACTAGGGGAACCATGAGCTTATTTCTTGGGTGGCATTGAAAATTGGGTTGGGCAAATGTTTTTTTTGTGGGATGAATTGAAAAGGGACCCCCTAAGGGGCCAGCAGGCCCCCTGCAGCTTTCCCTCCTTTCTTGTTTTTATGTATCTAAGTGAACTATGCCAGTATTCTTACAAAGCGCTTTTTTTCCAGTTGATTCTTAATGCTAATATTTCCAAAAGCATTTGGGGGACCATGGTCACCACATTCTTGAAATTTAAAAACCCTAAAAAACCCCAAATAAAAAAATTTTAAAATAACTAAAAACGTAAACCCCAAGCTTAAAAAAATACTAACCAAATCACTAAAAAAAAAAAAAAATTAAAATAACCCAAACCTAAAAGCCCCCAGAGACCCCTATAGAAACCCGGAAATTTAAACAAAATGAAAAAAAAAAAAAGCGGGAAGTCAGAGCGTGGGTAAACTCTTCAAATCTATTCCAGTCGGTGCATGCCACAAACTCACGGTAAAAGGAACACCCCGAACAGGTGGCTATTGGGGAGATGCGACCCCAACCTCAACACTTTTTCAAAGTGAGAGCCCCTCTGAAAGAGGAAAGCAAAAACATTCTCCAAACCCTTTTTAAACTTACTGCATCCCGGGGGCCCCACGGTGCCATTTCCCGACGACAATTTGAAGATATACAAAGTCACTACAAAGCAAAACCCTACTGCAGATTTGCTCACTAAGGCGCTTTTTCTGCCTCGCATCCCCCCTTTCTTTACAGACATCAACATGGCCCGGGAAACAACAGACTCGATCCTTGTGCGCACTTTTGGACCAAAGGTGGAAAAGGAAAGAGGAAAAAAAACTGAATACAGGGGCCCCCCAAAATAATCGCCCGGGCCCCTGAAAGTCGTCCTTTGGGAAATGCCTGTTTTTTCGTAAAAAATTTGGCTCGAAAAGGGTCCGTAACTCGCTAATAGTCCTTTGTCCCAACCACTCCGCCTGACCACCTGGGTTTTTTCCCTTCCCCAGCCAGTGTGCCTTTGTTTACCAGTAGCAAAGCCCCTACGTGCCCACAAAATTTTTTCAAAATTTTCCTTTTATTTTAGTGCTTGCAAGTTATTTAAGTTCTAAATAAGCTCCCAGGCTCCAAAGAAAGCCCCTAGTCCCAAGCCTTTGAAAAATTTTGTTTAATTGTTTTTATGCACCCCATACCCATCTTTGGGGCGGCAGTCAAAAGATTACAGAGGTACAAAAATTTTTTTCAGGGATGGACTCCAAAATTTTTTGATAGCTGAGCAAGACAAAGGTAATGAACGAGGGCATAACATGCCCAAATTTTCAAAGGTAATGAGCTCCGGGTAGACTGGTCACAATCATGACAATTTTTAAAAGGGTAATGAATGATAAACACTTATGACATGATAACAATAAACAAATTCAGAGTAATAAAAGCAGTTAACAAACATAGTAGGGAATTACCAAATCCCCCCAACAACAGATTTGCTAGGGCCTGTCCTCCTCGGCAGACAGCCATTGCAAACAGCAGCAATTTTCCCCCGGGATCTGCTCTTGCACGAGACCATAAAACCCTCCCAAAGGTCCCAAGAAGCCAGTGACCCCGTTACACCCGATGGAGAGCTGCCCTGGGGAATTCAGCGTTGGGGGACCCCAAAAGTTGATTGAAGTTCCCCAGGCCCCTGTGCCGGATGTGAAGCTTGAGAACTGAGTACACACTGCCTGTGGCAAAAACCGACAGCTGCCCGGGGTCAAAAACTCCACTGCTGCCCCTGTAGTAGAAGCCCCTGTAGCCCGCACTCCCTGCAGTCCCATCGGACATCGGGGTTAGGGGAAAAGTACCCTCTTAGATGGGTGGCGCTGGGTTTGGGTGAGTGAGGGGGGGAGGCAAGGGGTGAGGCGTTTAAGGGGGTCACTTTTTACTACACACCCCCTCCCCCCCCCGGAGGGGGGGGGGAGGCGCTGACGGGCCCTGACCAACCCCAAACCCACAAAAATGCAAAACCCTTTTAAATATTTTGCAAAAACGTCACTGGGGTCCGTTCGCTGCCGGTATTTTCTCAAAGCATTCACATGAGTTCTTTAATAGGGACCGGGTCACCCTCTTTGACCGGACTACCCCTTGAAAATCCACAGTAGCCGCTACCAACCTGCCGCGGGGCCCAGATGCTCTTGGGGCTTTGGTAAAGGTGAGAAATACATTGAATTTAAAAAAAAACATCATTGAAAAAATATGATAGTGGTGATGTTGGGGAATGGCCGGGATGTAAACAAACCCCGTAAAACCCTATCTTCCTCATAGCCAAGAAAAAGGAAATTAAGGACGCTGTTGTTGAAAAGGGGGGTAAATATGCCGACAAAAATGAGATACCATACCGAAGATGTTGAGAAGTTTTTTTTTGGGGGATAAATGTAAAAAATTACAGAGTCTCTTATGTTCGATTATTTGTGAAAAGGCTGGGGCATTTGCATGACGTTTTGGGAAAAGAAATTCCCCTGCAACTATATATGAGTAAATTTTAAGGCCAGAAAAGGGTGGTTAGAGTTTTTAAGAAGGTACGGGCATACCATGGGGTAAGGGCTGGAGGCTGCTTTTCGGACCAAAAAGGCCGAAAAAATTGCATGAATTAAGGAGTACATAAACAGTGAAGGGGACAAAACTTGAACAAGTTTAAATTGTGATAAAAAGGGCCCTTTTTGGAAAAAAAATGAAAAAGAGGATGTAGTGATACTGGTCATTGGGGAGCAGGCAGCGGGATAATACTCACCACCTCGGGGGCCCTTAACAACAAAACAAAAACAACGTTTGGTGTGGTCGGGCACCAAACATGGTGTGTGATTTCTTTTTCTTTTTTACCCCTTTATCTGCGATCAGTTACAGGTGGTTAAAATTGGGGCCCTGTAGTTATAATTTTTCTCTTGACATATGAAGACATCACCACCCCTGTAGAAGCCATTTTTAATGACTGTATTATATTTGTTGTTGCGAAGTACATAAGATTCTATTTCAAAAAAAGCCTAGAGATAAGGGCCCCTGTGTTTCTATCAAACAATTTTTTGAACATAAAATCCGGGGCTACCTGGTGGACCTGCGCTGACACATCAAACAGGAGCTTTCTGAAACCGAGAGGCAAAACTGGACCCCACTTACAACGGCTCTCGGAATGGAAGCAGGGTTTAAGATTTCAAAAACTTCTTGGGACCCTTCCTAAAAAAGATTAGATAAACTAAGTCTGTCATCAATTTTGTGTCACCAAAATATATGAGGCTATTTTGAGGTAATACCTAGAAGATGCTATCAAAACCCTAAAGTCTCAGTATATTAAACCTACAAATGAAATTTTGCACGCTTCGCCTTTGAAAAACTCCCGCCAGCAGATTGATGAGTCTTAGGGGAAATACTTTAAAGACTGAAACTTAGGAAAGGACTGTCACTCCAAGCAGTGACGCTGCCAGTATTGTGAAGAGTCCATCGGGGATGCTTTTATCAGGGGCCTCAATCCCCAAAATAGGCAGCTTTTATTGGAAAAATAAAACTCCCTTAGCTGCTGCCCTTTGACCAGGCAAGAGCCTAGTTTCACCCCAGAAAAATTTGAAGTATACAGTACCGCTCGCCTTTCCCCGATGGTAAGTGCTTCAATTCCTGCCCAAAGACTCTTGCAATGAAGTTACGGGGAACCTGCCTCAGTGACAGCGCAGCAGGTACGGGTTTTTTTTTTTTGGGGTTTTTTTTTTCAAGACATCCACGCCAAAGTGTCCTGCCTAAAAGCATGTGCCATAAACCCACAAAAAGGTCACTTTGCGAAAGTAGTCGGCTAATGCATAAACAAGAGCTATGCCTCCACACTTTCCATGCATGCGACTCACAACATGACTTCTGCGGACCCCAAATTCACTGTCAAA